TACCATGGGCTGGAGGTCGACATCGCAATCGCTAGGGATCACCATAACCTCTTTAGGGCCATCGCTTGTCCTGAGAGACCCTTGGCAAAATAGTAAACCCACTTCACTCCCAGCAAAGGGCTGGCGGATCGCAAATATCCCGTTCGCGAACCATCGTGACACCTTCTCTACCACCAAAGGAGACAACCCAGAATGGTCGACTTTCCGGCCAACAGCAAAGATCTCGCGGACGCGAACTCCTTGGAACACCGAATCATCCTCAGCGAGGGCCTTCTCCACCACAGCTGCCTGGTTGTGGTTGAGGTCGATAATGTCTAGTGCCGCCAGGGGAGCCTCTACATGAGCAACCTGCGGTGCCGTATAGCACTCTTCTGGTGGGCTCTCGCCCTCAGGAGGAGCCCCAGAGGTCACGGGCGCAGCAGCCATCACCGGGTAGTCCTGCTCACCCAACATGTCGTCATCTGCTGGCCGCAGAAGGTCCGGGATGACCATACAGAAAGGTAAGAGATCCTTGCCGGCCTCGTCTCCTTGGCATCGTGGGTCTTCCTCGGGTTGACACAGGAGCTGCTCATGCCAGCGGCTGAGTAGATCGGCCACGTCGTTAGAGGTACCAGTACAGTGCCTCACCGTGTAGGGTAGATATCTCCACTCACTGGCCTCCTCGATCCACGAGAGGAAACGGCGCGACTTGGCGCTAATCAAAGGGGAGAGAGGGAGCCGGTAAGTAGTCCATCGAGAGAGACTGATAGTATTGTCAGTTAACACCAGGATCTTAGCCTCACTCTGTGACTCTCTTGGAGATCTTGGCCTGGTGGTAGCTATGAACAGCTTGCCCCACTTCTGCATGGCGGCCATGAGGGCCAGCATCTCCTTTTCATAGATCATTAACTTTACCTCATCGCCCGACAGAGCACGAGATAAAGCACCAACCAATACCGCTTTCTCGGGGTCTTTCAAGTCCTCCATAGAGACTTCCTGGGAAGGCCCATTATACCGAAAGAGCGCAGCCCCAATGGCAAGGTCAGAAGCGTCCACAGTCACAACCCAGGAGCTAGCCTCACCACATATCAAGTCTTTGTACGAGTGAAGACCTAGAGGGGCGTTGACGATGCTCTCAGACAGCCGCTTTAGGGCATCCTCTGCCTCGGGCGAGATCTTGAATGGCTTCTTGTTGACCAATGGCGTCAGGACCTTGAGGGTCTCCCCAAACCCCGCAAGCCGATCGAACTGAAAGGCGCTGCGGGCGTAGTTAATGGACCCCAGGATTCGTCTCAGATGGGACCCACTAGTAGGAGTCTGGGCGAGCGCACTCTTGAGCCGAGCTATGCTCTCGTCGCTCAGCCGGATTCCTCGGGCGGAGAACTCTAGCCCAATGCAGACAGCGCTCGCACCAATAGAAGGACCACACTTAGAGCTTACCCTCTTCCCAAGAGCATTGATAGCGGCCACCACCACCTTCCGGCGTCGTTCACACTGATCAGCAGTATCGCCCCAGATGAGGATGTCATCCATGAAGATAGCACAGTACTCACGGTAGCTTTCTCCGAGGAGAGTCTGAAGCCCATGCCGAATATGATATTGCCACAATAGAGGGCTCAGCCCCAATCCCTGGAGGGCCACCTTGCTACGGTATACGCGACCGCCGATAGCAAAACACATCAAGTCTTGAGCCCTAGGTGCAGCCGGTATGCTCTCAAAAGCAGCTTCAACGTCCACAGTGGTGAAGTACCTCGCACTTTGATCAACCTGACGCACAAATTCCGCCGCCGAGAGGCCATCATCCCGGAAATAGTCGGGAATGTCCACCATAGTGTTCAATCGCCGTAGATCTACTAGTAGTCGAACCGCTTCCTCGCCTTTGGCCGGTCCTTCTTCAATAAGTCTTCCTTTCGCCTTGGCGAAGCATGGACTAATCCACATGGATGCAGTGGGAGCTACTTCTTCCCAATGTCCAGCCAGCACCTCCTTGCGGATTTTGTCGTGAACACCGGGTACTAGCTTAGCCGGAATGTTGTAAGGAGCTTGGCATTGGTAGGGGGTCTTCCGGTAGGACTCAGGAATATCAAAATCGAGCACCGGGGCCACATACCCGATGTCCGCAAGCCTCTCCTTCATAGATGTCGTGAGACGCTCCTCCGACCAGATGGCCGAAAGCTCCTCATAGTTCACCGCCTCTACCATGCTACAAACCGGGACGGAACAGACCGGCTGAGGCTTGCGATCTAGTCTGACCAAGGGAATCGCGATACCGAGGTCCTTCACCTGAAGCCTGTCGTCCGTAAGACACACATCCGCACCCATCCTTCGAAGTGACTGAGCCCCGAGGACAACATCCATCTCCACACACGTTGATCGTAGGTCGACGGCGAGAGCGTAAAGGAAACATCTTTTGCCCTCAAAGGATAGGCTCAGGCGCACCTTGCATCTAGGCACAACCCTTCCACTCTTGAAACCTGCCAGCGTGGGCAGTTCGTCACGGGGGCAATCTACGATCTCGCAGTAGTGGATCAAGTCCTCGTGAATGAGGTTGAGCTCGCATAGTGTATCGACGGCCACTATCACATCTCGATCTGGATAGGCAGAGGAACGAAGCCGGGCCAACACCGCCGGAACCGCCAGAGGCTCTGCCATCAGAGAAGTCACCATATAGGTAGGAGCATCCTCCCTGTTCGTGATGTCGTCGTCAGAGGACTTTTTGGTATCCTTCTCGAGCTTGTTCTTGAACCATTCAGGAGCATTCTTGCAGTCGGGATTGTTCCAGCAGAAAGGAGCCGTGTGTCGGGTGTACTTGTTACAAATGGTGCACCACCTGTCGGGACGAACCGGCCTTCCTTCAGACTTCTCCTTAACGTGATCGGATACCCTGGCCGGACTGCTGTGTGTTCTCGACCGAGCCGCAGAGTCCTTGGAACGCGAAACGTGCTTGGGCACAGAGCCATATTCCCAGGGTAACACCGCGTACGCCTCGGCCTCGATAGAAAGGAGCTCCTTGGTGATATCTTTGAAGAGAAGCTCCTCCGGCGCCTTCCTGTTCCTCCGAAGAGCTTCACTGAACCGCTCGCGGATAGGCTTGCTGACCGCACCAACCACTTTCACCACACGATCATAGTCACTTGGTGGGGGTACACGTTTGAACGCGAATGCAGCTACCATGTCGCTCCAGGCCTCATCCTCGCGAGAGAGAAAGTCGACCAGCCACTCCTTCGATTTTTGGGACAACTGTTCCCATCGATAGCGTGCTTCAAGATGGCAAGTCTGACTCGATCCAATGCGAACTAGAACCTGGGTCAGGAGAGAGAGTAGTCTCTCCCATCCAGACTTCTCCTTGAACCTAGCTGCCCCACTCAGAGTTGCATAGTCTACATCCACCGGTAAGGATGGTCTAAGGAGGTGCCCATGTTGAACTTTGATCTCGTCCAAAATGTCCTCGACTTCGCGATCCCCTTCCGCAGCCAATAATCGCAGCACTACAGTTTCAGCCGCCTTCTTATGAATGCCATTACCGTACTGGTAGACATGATGTAGCAATAGGGCCACTATGATATCCAACGGAAAGTTCCAGGACTTCTCGAGCATAGTAACCGTCTCGAGCAAGGCCCTACCGAGATCTTCATAAGTATCCTTCTTGGCACCCTTGAAGAGCGCGCGGAACGGGGTAGGCTCATTTCTGCAGACCTCCTCATAGAGCTGTGGTATCGATGCAACCCAATACTTGTCGGAGATCTCTTTAGAAATGTTCACAGACTCGTAGATATAATAGATCGGACTATTTTGACCGACCATACCATTCCCACGGATGACGTTGGCTACCACGTTTCCTGCAGTTTGGAGGGAACTGAGAGTTGCTTCTCCGTTACACTTGGTCACTTGGCACACCTGCTGCTTGATCTTGTTGAGTTCTTCTCGAAGGGTCAGAACTTCTTGTGCAAGTCTGGCTTCACTGACACTTTGGGCTAAAGCTCTTGCTTCAGTCGATATCTCTAATCCTGTGCCGGGAACAGCACCACCACAGATGAGGGTCGAACCAGAGGGAGACACGAATTCAGTTACAGAGGGTTCTTCACCGTTCGAAGCATCACTGCCGTTGTTGGTCATAGCTTACGCAACTCCAATTGAAGGTACGGAGAACCGTAGAAGGTCAATTAGAGATAGATGGAACGAAGCTGCAAACGAATGGGATTCAGCTCGCTCTAACAGTCATCATAATGCATACTACACTACGACTCTAGATGCACGATACTTTATTCGCAGTCAT